GCGGGGACTGGTATTCTGTGACTTGCTTGGCCCAGTAGCCCGGGCAACAGAGCAAGACTCTGTCTCAAAAAAAAAAAAAAAAAAAAAAAACAACCATTGGCCATCTTTGGAGGATATTGGGGAACAAATTCATTGTTTCAGAAATTGGTCAATAATGGGAAAGAACCAAGCATATGGCCTGCTTGTACTATGTAAACTGTTCCCAAACAATGGATGAGCACGAAGTTTCTCTGTGGATAGAATTCTACCTAATGAATGGAGAAAGAGTGATAGATTGCCGCCATTTACAACCCTAAAGAAATAATAGGCCGGGCACAGTCGCTCACACCAGTAATCCCAGCATTTTGGGAGGCTGAGGTGGGAGGATCACTTGAGACCAAGAGCTGAGGTTGCAGTGAGTTATGATGACACCACTGCACTCTGCCGGTGCAACAAAGCGAGACCCTGTCTCAAAAAAGGATCATGTCCCACAGAAGAAAGTATGCAACACCAGCTGAAAGTCTCCCTACCAGAAAAAACCCAACATCTAAATCTGTTCATGCCTCTACATTTAACTGCCAGTTTATAGGAAGTTCCTATGGTGTTTCCCGTATGTTCGGTCAAGGGAATGTGTTAAATGACATCATGGGCATGTAATGAAGAAAATCTAGACCTGGGGAAGCCACAGGCCAAATGACTTGGGTTTTTTTTTTTTTTTTCCCAACAAATAAATTACAAAATAAAAAAGGAAACAAGACACATAGAACACTAATAACAAATCAGGACAGTCCTGAACGGAGTTAAAAAGGTCCAAGGACCTTGTGTTGACTGCAAGAAGGGTAAAAATACTGATTCACTTAAGTTTAAGTTAAATGGGCTCATTAAAATTCTTGCCAACCACTAAAAGAACAGAATAGAAAGATGTGTAATCTCCATGTTAGTGAGGGGAATAAAAAAGAAAAAAAGCAATCAACCAAGGAAAAGAAAAGAAACACTGAAAAGCTGAGACAAGCCAGGCACGGTGGCTGATGCTTGAAATCCTAGCACTTTAGGAGGCCAAGGTGGGAGGATGGCTTGAGGCCAGGAGTTCAAGACCAGCCTGGATAACCGTAAGACCCTGTGTCTACAAAAAAACTAAAAAATCAGCCAAGCATGGTGGCACACACCTGTAGTCCCAGCTACTCAGGAGGCTGAGTAGAATCACTCTCAAGAGGATCACTTGAGCCCAGGAGTTTGAGATTGTAGTGAGATATGATGACGCCACTGCACTCTAGCCAGGGCAACAGAACAAGAACCTGTCTTAAAAAAAAAAAAAAAAGGTGGGACAGAAAGAAGCTGTAAATAATATGTATAAATCCAAATATATCATTCCAAGTAAGCATAAATGGACTAAATTTCACAAAGTTGAAGATTGGCAGCCTGGGAAAGAGAATCCAGTACATTATAGTTCACATGAGACACATCTAAAACTCATTACAGAAAGGTTGGAAGTAAAGGAATGGAAAGGATAGCATTGCGAAACCAGTATATTCTCTATGAAGAGAGCATGAAGAATTTATTTTTTTCTCTTTTCAGGTTAAAGAAGAAGGAGTTTAGTTTAGAAGAAATATATACCAACAAGAATTATAAGTCTCCTCCTGCAAACAGGTAGGCGCATACAGCTGGAAAATAAAAGAGAGGAAAGAATTCTGAAAAAATGTATGTAAATCTCCAGTCCTTTCCCTTCAGAAAGGGTTTATGGGCCAGTCGCTGTGGTTCGTGCCTGTAATCCCAGCACTTTAGAAGGCCAAAGTGGGAGGATCTCTTGAGTCCAGGAGTTTGAGACCAGCCTGGGCAACATAGCAAGACCCTATCTCTACTTAAAAACAAAAACAAAAAACTAGCCAGGTATGGTGGTGTGCACCTATAGTTGCAGCTAGTCAAGAGGCTGAGGTGGGAGGATCACTTGAGAGTTTAAGGTTGCAATGAGCTGTCAGTGTACCACTGCACTCCAGCCTGGGCGATAGAGTGAGACCTCATCTCTTAAAAAAAAAAAAAAAAAAGGAAAGGGTTTATGTTCAGTTCTACCTGCTACCTGGCCTAGGGACAGGGACCTGGCATTCTGTCCCACATGGTCTCACTGGCTCATTTCAGTAGTTGCAGAAAGATGAGCTGTTGTGTTTTCTTAGATACAACTAGAGTTAGTATTTTTTGTTTCCACTTGAATTGTGATCAGTGATAAGATAGGAAAGAAACGTGTGTCGGGTTAGATAAATACAGAAAATGTAGTCTCCTTTTAGTTTGTACTTGTGTTTTTACCAAATATGCTGTCTTCTTCAGGACTGATAATTGATCTTCAGCTATGATTCCCAACCTCAATACAGAAAGGGTTTCTCTTGGCCTCCTTTGGGTCTGAATTCAAGTCAAGTCAGTGCACATTTATTAAATGCTTGTTGTGTCTAGGATATAGCAGGAGAGTTTTAGGGTTTTATCCTAGGATTTTGTATATGTGCTCTAAGATGCACACTTATTACAATGTCACTGCAGCATTGCTGAAAAATAAAAAAGGGTTGGAAACAACCTAAAATATCTATTACTAGTGTTCTTATTAGATTATACAGTCCATGCTTATAATGGAATACTTGTACAGCCATTAAAAACTGTACTAAGTTGGAACAATCTTAAAGGTTACCAGTAGGCCACAGAAGCACAGTTAGAGGTCAGTGTCTGCTGCTGTTTGAGTGGGGAAAAAAATGCAGGGTGTATTGTGGGTCCACAAACTATAGGCCAAATCCAGCCAGTGGTTCATTTTTATTTTATGATGTATAAGCCAAGAATGGTTTTTACAGTTTTAAAGGGTTGCTTTTAAAAAGAAGAAGAAGAAAAACAAAGAAAAATTTGTAACAGAGACCTGTGTGGCTCACAGAGTTTGAAATGTTTATTGTCTGACCCTTTACAGAAAAGGGACAACCCCTGGTAATTAATATATGCTTATTTATGCATGTCTGTATTGAATGACTTTTGGGAGGATACGCAAAAGTGTTGTTGATGTTGCCTCCTATTGTGGGGTTCACCTTACTTTTATTCTATACCCTTCATCCAGTTTGAATTTGTTCACTGTGCTCATGTACCATACATGTGGGGTCCCCCCGCCCACCCACACACACACACACACACAGAAAGACAATGGCCAAAGGAAAGAGTTACTGTAAGGAGTTATTAGTGCAAGTCACTTTCAGCCCCTGTTGACTAGAAGGTGACCCCAGAGATGAGTTGGTTCAGTCTGTTGGTGATTCTGTTTTGTGCTCCATCCTTAGGTGTTTAGAGACCATCTTTGAGGAACCCAAGGAACGAAATGGTACGCTAATTTCAATCAGCCAACAGAAGAGGAAGCGAGTTCTAGAGTTTCAGGATTTTACAGTCCCACGAAAGAGGAGAGCTCGAGGTAAAGTGAAGGTGGCAGGCAGCTTTACGAGGGCCCAGAAGGCAGCTCTGCAGAGTCAAGAACTGGATGCTCTTTTGATACAGAAACTAATGGAACTGGAGACCTTCTTTGCCAAGGAAGAGGAACAGGAACAGTCATCAGGTTGTTGATACCCAATTCATTTTGGAAGTCTCAATTTTAGATTTCTTTTGGACCTCCTTGGAAGAGGTTGCCTAATTTTACCTACCGCCCAAACCACTCAAAATGCACAGTTGATGAATTTTTACCTATTTCAAGGTGCAACCTTTTTAGGAACTGGTGAAGGAGGGTCCTCTACTTCTACTGCTGAGTATAGAACCTCAGGAATGCTCCCTTTCTCCTGGAAATGGTCCCAAATGACATCCGGCCTCCTCCTCTGCATCTCCGCCATCCACAGGAGGAAGAAGCAGCATATCTTAAGTAACACTAGGATTCCA